CTACTTGTCGCAGGTGTGACCTCAGGCTGTCTTCCACAGAGCACCTTTTGCTTGTTTCCCTCCCTCCTTCTCTCCCTCCCTCCCTCTCTCCCTCCCTTCCTCTCTCCCTCTCTCCCTTCCAGACTGGCCTCAGATTTACAGAGATCTGCCTGTGTCTGCCTCTGGAGTGCTGGGATTAAAGCCATACGTCACCACACCCTGCCTTTTTTGTTTTTCATTTGTTCAGACAGGGTCTTGCATGATTTGCTATGTAGACTACCTTGAACTAGTGGATATTCTGCCTGCCTGCACCACCATTCCTGGCAAGACCATTTTTGTAACAAAGAAAACAGCTCATCTGCACTCATCCTGTATTCCTCACAAGGGAGGAGGTACTCGTATTACTGTCTCAAATTTATCCTTCCCTAGAAGTTTATCTTCTTAGAGATTATCTTCTCTGGTAATCTTAAACCTCTCCCTATAGGCTCCTTCTCATTAGTGATTAAGTAAAATTAATTTATTTATTTTGTGACAGTCTTATAGTGTTGCCCAGGTTGGCTCCAAATTCCTGGGCTCAAACAATTCTTTTAAGTACCTGGGACTATAGGTATGTAAAACTGTGCCCAACTCCAAAATCAACTTATTTAAGTGCAATGTTTATAACAGCTATTATAGAACTATTAATTAAATGTATTAGCTTTCTGCCACTGTGACAACTACCTTAGATGATCACCTTATAAAGTGGAAAGGTTCACTTTGACTCACAATTTTGGAAGTTCCAGTCCATGACCAATGGGTCCCATTGCTTTGGGGCTTGTGGTAAGGCAGCACCTCAGCAAGGATTATTTGGTAGAGCAAAGGTGCTCACTTTATGGCCAGGAAGGGAAAGAGGAAGAGATGGGGCTCCTATAGTGCCCATAGGGGGTACCCCTCCACTGAACTAAAGACCACCCAGTAGGCTCCTTGCAACATTTCTTCCTTCTCAACAGTGTGAAGTTGCGAACTGGGGGTCCTTACCCCACGGGTCTTCAAGGGACAATCTGGATTCAAAGTACAGAACAGTACTTGAAGTGAGGTAGAGAGTAATACAGCATGATACAAAAAGTCTTGAGTTCAGGTTAATAATCTAGCTTTAGATATGTCAGAGTCCTCATTGTGACCTGACGTGAAGTTTTGTTTCCTAGTGTGTCAAATAGGAATGGCTTTTGTTTATTGGAGATAAGGTCTCATTAAGTAGCCCTAGTGCTGGCTGGCCTGGAACTCACTATGTAGTCTCATATAGTAAATATCTTTTTGGATATTAAATTATTGGTGAATAATAAGTTATTGAAGGAGCTTATTTTAATCTTTATTGCCACTGTAAGGAGTACTCAGTATTGGTGAAATAATGAGTATAGTGAGTCAATTTTATCAAAACAACACAAAAATGATAAAAGTTGGAAAAGTTGAGCTGAGAAATTCAGTGGTTAAGAACACTGGCTGCTTTGAAGAAGACCTGGGTTCAGTTTCCAGCACCCACATGGCAGCTAACAATTGCCCATAACTCCAGTTCCAAGAGATCTGAAACCCTCTTCTGGCCTCCATGGGCATTGCATGCACGAAGGCACTTACATACATGCAGGCAAAACATCATACCCATAAAAATAAATTATTTTTAAAAACTGAAAAAAATACTGAATATATTCCCCCCAATATTTATTAAATTAAAAATTCTCTTCAGAGTAAAGCTCTTTCATTACACCTGGTATGGTGGCACACACCTTTAATCCCAGCACTTAGGAGGCAGAGGCCAGCCTGGTCAACATGAGTTCTAGGCCAGCTAGGGCTTCAGGGAGACCTTGTCTCAGAAAAACAAAATGACAAAACAGCTCTTTCATTGCAAAATGTGATGATTAATTTATCTATCAAGCAAAAGGTAGTAATTTAACATAATTTTTGTGGCACTACCTGTACATGCTAGGTAAGTGCTCTCCTACTGGGCCAGAACCCCAGCCCAGTAATTATTATTTAATGTTTCTGTTTCTGCAGCCTCAAGACTAACCTGAAGAGAGTGGGAAATGGGTTCCTTACATAGCTAGAAAAGGGGTGTGATAGGTTTGTGCACAGCTTCCAGTTCTACTAGCTTTTTGTTCTGCCAATTACAGTTCAGAAATGTGAGTCACTCCCAGACTTCTTGCTGAGTCATTGGGTAAGTACTAGTGAGAATGTTGTGCCCAGAGAACAGATCCCCAAGAATTACTACGGAGTCCAGAGAGCATGCAAGAACAGAGTCTTTATTCGGGCCTAAGCTCGGACTCTCAGACCAAACTAAAGTGGTGGGTCCATCCTGAGAGCCCTGATTGCAGGGGGAGGGAGCTTTTTATAGGTTTCAGACAAAGGGAGGAGGGGAATGATAGAGTTATATTTTGATTGGTCCAAAGAGCCCATGTGCACCTACATACTTTTGAATTGATTGGTTTCAGTCTTGGGGGCTTCTCATTGGTGGGTGCTGCCCTCAGGGCTGCAGAATGTGCTGACTGTTATCTCCAGGGCTAGAGGACCTATTCATTTCTTATAAGGCCTCAAACCTGCCTGGGCCCCCTTTACATGCCTGGGGTTGTCTCATCTATAACCATAGCCCTTGTTTATGACTTGTAACAGCCTGAGACATCGCAAAATGGAGGGGCCAGCCAGAATGGAGTCGGTGCAGTTTGTCCCTTTAGTTCTTCTAAGCCAAGCAATTTACAAAAGCGAAAAGAGCCATTAATCCTAAAGAGCAGGGGTCCAGGGGCACAGAGGAGGGCCTAAGGAGGAGGGCTTAACAAGAATAGGTCCAAGATGGGAAGGGTCATTGTATTAGTTACTTTTCGTTGCTGTGATAGAAACATTGACCAAAGCAACTCATAGAAGGAAGAATTGATTTGAGCTTACCATTCCAAAGGGGCAAGAGTCCATCAGAGGTGGCTGGAGGAGGAGCAGAAGCTAAGCTCTCACATTTTCAAGCAGGCACAGGAACAAGAGAGCAACTCAAGATCTGGTAAGGCTTAAGAACTCTAGGTAAGCCCACCCCCAGTGACATTCTGCCAGCATTGCGACACCTTCTAAGACCTCCCAAAACAGTGCCACCAACAGGGGACAAGATACTCAGATACTTGGAGCCTCTGGGGGACATTCTCATTCAAACCACCACAGTCATTAAGGCCTGTCACCAGGAAAGTCTTTCTGAAAACCCTGCAAACTATCTGCAGCAATTATGACTGGCCCAGAGCTTCCTGAAACAGATGTTCCAGCAATAGCTATGGCAGTGGGTTTTGCTCTGGAGTGTTATTTCCTCAGAGTGTCATAGAAATATTCACAGCAGCTGAGTGGCCATGATGAGTCTAGCCAATGGTCAAATAAATTGCTGTTTGACTGACAGCTCTTTGTCCAAGAGAATGGTCTGATGGCTGTCTGTTGAGTGGCCAAAGAGCTCAACAGCACCTGCCATTGAAAAGGGAAAAATATTAAAGGGTACTCAGAATGAATACTTTCATGCAATAAATATTCTCATAGGACTTAATAGCGTTTAACCTACAAAACTGTTGGGAGAGTTCATAGGACTTAATAGCGTTTAACCTACAAAACTGTTGGGAGAGTTGAGGCCCTCTGATATTTCAGAAAATCTTTATGGGCGTCTTCAAGACAGAAGAGGCAGGTGAAGGTTAGAGTGGAATTTCTAGTATATATGGCTGCCTTTGGAGAAATGGAGTTATAGTGTCTATGACCCATTTTGAGGGAGAGGAATGCAGGTTTCTATGCCTTGGGGTCATGGAAGAGACAGAAAACAGGAGAGTCTTCTGGTATGTTCTTTCTCCTTTTAGGTTTATTTTTATTTTATGTGTATTAGTGTTTGTCTGCATGTATGTATGTGCATCATTTGCATGCCTGGTGCCTAAGGAGGCCAGAAGGTTTTGGATTCCATGGAACTGGAGTTACAAGTGGTTGCTGGCTACTATGTGGGTCCTGGGAACCAAATCCCAGTTCTCTACAAGAGCAGCCAAGTGCTCTTAACGGCTGAGCCATCTCTCTAGCCCTTTGTTTTTAAAATATTTATTTTTTTAAATTGTGTGTGTGTGTGTGTGTGTGCACTCATGGAGGCCAGAGGCATTGGATCGCCCTTGAGCTGGGGTTACAGGCAGTCACTTGCTGCTAGACATGGGTACTAGGAACCAAACTCTGGATCTCTGCAAGAGCAGTATGGACACTTGCTTAACCACTGAAACCACCTCACCAGCCCCTCTCTGGTGTTTTTTGTTTATCCAGACTGGTCTGGAACGTTCAACAATCCTGCCTCACAGGCTCCCTAGTACTGGGATTAGAGGCATGAACCACACCTGGCTATTGGTTCTGCAGTTGCTTCTGAAGAGGCTTTTCATTGTCCTTTAGTTCAAATACTCAGCATGCCGGTGTCAGACTGGAGTATCATTTCCTGAGCCTCAGTGTTAAAACCAACTATCCAATCATACATCCTTACCGAGTTAACAGGTAGGGTTAAGGCAGCCAGATGTAGCAAATTAAATTACAGGATGGTCAGTTATAAGAAATGCCCCTTATAGTAAAAACTTATCAGCAGGCTGTGATGGCATACGTCTTTAATGTGAAATTCAAATATAACTGGATTTATCCTTTCATGCATCTGTCGACCCTAGCTAGTGTATTATGGTAAATATATTAGAAGATGGGGAAGATCTGCGGCCTCCAGAGTTTCTGCCCCTCCATTGGGCACTTAGAAGAAGCTTCTGGGCCTTTGTGTCTCTGGAAACGAGGAAACTTCGCCGGCAGGTGCAGTGTGTGCTGCAAGCAGCCAGGTGACGACTTGGGAGGGAAGGAGGGGACCACAGACACCTGCAGTAACACTGGTCTGGACTTGCAGGTCAGCAGAGCTCGCAAACACCTGCGATGTCTGGTACTTGTGTCTTAATGCGGCTTCCAGTCCAGGTCGTCAGCCACTCACTGACCAGAAGCCCTTTGCCCAACTCTAAGATGGCGCCCTGAAGTGGCCGCCAGGTATCAAGATGGCGGCCTAGGGCCACGCGTGCGCTCTAGGTTCCCCTCGCCCAGCCTCTCCGGACCCGGAGCTCGATTCGCGTTGCCGAGCGCCGGTTGTCTTCCACTAGGGTGGTGGTCGCGGCCGCTGACTGTCGCGCGTCATGCAGATTTTGTGCTGGTGGCAAATACTGCTTTGGGTGCTGGGACTTCCGGCCCGCGGCCTGGAGGGTGAGCGTGGGCCCGGCGGGCGGGAGTCCGTGGCATGTGAGGCGACGGGCGGGGTGGAGGTCAGCTGGGGACTATCTCCACCTGCCCGGGGAGGACTGTCAGGGGCTCACTGCCCACCGGTGGTGCATGGTCAGGCGGGGGGGGGGCGGGGAGGCTGGGCTTGCTCGGACCCCTCGGCTGCACCCTGCAGGAGGGAGTATTGAGCGCCTGCTGAGCCATAGCCCCTTATGCTGAGCCCTTTATCATCGTCATCATCATCATCAATGGCCTACCTTTATTGTTGTTTTTAAAAAATATTTTATTTATTATTTTTATTATTTTATGTGTATGAGTGTATCGCCTGCCTGTATTGTGAGTGCATCCGTGTCATGCAATGCTGCAGAGGTCAGAAGAGGGCGTCGGATTCCCCTGGAACTGGAGTTAAGGACAGTTCGTAGCCGCCATGTGGGTGTTGGGACTCGAACCCGGGTCCTATGCAAGAGCAGTCAGTGCTCGTAACCGCTGGGCCATCTTTTAAAAAAAGCCAAGAACTCTGCATGCTACTTTACATCATCATCTCATTTAGTCTTTCCACCAACCCTGTGAGACAAGATCCATTAATATCTTTTTCAGAGATTGTTATGTTCAGAGAAGATAAGCAGTTTGCCTCTTCCCACTTCTGGTAAATATTGAGCCTGCCTCTGTTGACTTGAAAGTCCATGCTGGAGTCTTATCCTAATGGACCACTTTTTAAAGGTGGCCACTGTTGATCAGTAGGTATTTACATGAATAACAGACCAGAAAAGCAACAGCAGTCTCTTGGGGTCATGCTTATGGGGACCCTGTTAAGGGACTGCATAGTGGGAGTGGGGAGCAGGGGCCTTAGGCCATGGCTTTTTCTTTTTAAAAATATTTTATTTATTATTTTTTATTTTTATGTGTATGAGTGTGTTGGCTACATGTATATAAGTATGCCCATGTCATGCAATGCCTGCTTCGGATCCCTTGGAATGGAGTTATGGACAGTTGTTAGACACCATGAGGGTGCTGGAAATCAAACCTGGGTCCTTTTTAAGAGCAGCCAGTGCTCTTAACCATTGAGCCATCTCTCCAGCCCCAGGCCATGGCTTTTTTAACCATTTCTAACTGGGTCTTTCTTTCCCCTGGGAGTGTCCCACCAGGAGGCAATGCTGAGCCTAGAGAAGGGTGATGTATACTAACACAATTATTTGGTGTTTTTGAGACAGAGTTTCATATAGTCCAGGCTAGCCTAGAACTGATCCTCCTGCCTCCATTTCCAAGTAATGGGATTATAAGCAGAAGCCTTTACATCAAGCATTTGTTGTTGTTGTTATTGTTGAATGTTTGTTTTGAGACAGGGTCTTGCAGTGCAGCCCAGATTGACTTCAGGTGATCCTGCCTGCCTGCCCAGTGCTTGGGATTATAGACTTGTGCCACTAAGCCTGGCCACAGTTAGCATTAATGAAAGAATTTACTGTGTAGAAGATATTACTATTGTTCTTAACTAGGGATGCTTAAACTGGGACTCAGAACCAGTAAATCCTTTGTCAAAGACATAAAGCCAGAAGTTGAAGAGCATGGTGTAAGCCTATGTCTGCCAGAACTCATAGCCAGAATTTTATATTTTCATTCTACTTAATCCCCAGCCTCAAATGTGAGGAAGACTATGAAATAACTGGGTCTCCTGATTCCTTTCTTTGTTTCTTTTCTTTGATTTATTTATTTTAATTTTATGTGAATGAGTGTTTTGCATGCTTGTATGTAAGTGCACCTGAGCCTGAGGAAGTCAGAAGGGGGCTTAGGATCCCCTGCAATTGCAGTTAAGGATTGTTAAGCTGCCATGTGGGTGCTAGGAACTGAACCTGGGTCCTTTGAAAGAGCAGCCAGTGCTTTTAACCGATGAACCATCTCTTTAGTCCCTCACTCCCTTTGATACAGGGTCTTATTATGTAGCCTTGGCCTGCCTGGAATTTGCTATGTAGACCAGGCTGGCCTTGAACTCACAGAGATCCATTTGCCTCTGCCTCCCGAGTGCTGGGATTAAAGGCATGTGTAACGCTGCTTTTAAAAGCCAGATGTGGCCGCATAAGGCTGTGATCCCAATACTCCAGAGGCAGAGTTGAAGGACAGTCTCTGCTACATGAGAGCCTGTCACAAACGAAACAAAAGAAACAAAACATTACTATTAGTTTCTCTGCACTCAGTACACACCCACACCCACACTGATGATTCCTTACTAAATTCTCAAAGTTGCCAGAGCTGTTACTTATTATAAGGCATTGTAAGCCCACTGCAAAATGAGGGGTACACTCATACAGACCCTAAGGATAATCACCAACTTTTGATAGGGTATTGGCCACAAGGCTAGGTCATACAACTGAGGATAAAGGAACCTTCAGATTAGCTCCTTCCTTCTCAAAGTAGCTGAAAATCCAAGGCATTTTTCTTTTCTGCAGCAGATGCCACTGTCAGATTGGCAATTGGAGGTGGGGTGCTGCCCAGGTGCCTAGGAATGGGATACTGGCCTTGAGATCCACAGGATCCTATACTAGTCTTTACTAGGCAGTTAGCTCCCAGATTCTCTTTTTGTTAGTTTTGTTTTGTTTTTTGAGAGAGGGTTTCCACTGTAGCCCAGCCTCACCTGAAGTTACAGTTGTGCCCCTGTCTCAGACTGCTCTGCTGGGCACTGGTGTGCAGTGAAGAGTCAGGCAAAGTAGTGGGCCTACCCTCCTGTCTGGTGGGCAAGGCAGGCAGTAAATGAGTACAAACCATTAAGTCAATTATAAGAGTGAAAAATACATCAAGAGAAGCCTCCAGGACATTTTTGCATGCTGCCTGGAGATGGCCTACTTAGGTCTGAGGGTTAGGGCAGATGTCCTTAATAGAAGTGAAGTTTAGGTTTAAGTGCCTCCATCTGAAGGATAGTGGGATTCGCCTGGAGGAGAGGATGGGGCAGGGGGCTTTCCCAGCGGAGAAACCGTCCTCAGAAGTGCTTCAGTGGTTGGAGCATGAGAGTGATTGGGACCCGACAGCACGAATAGGACATATCACACAGGATCTGGAAGCTATGTTACAAATGTGGCCTCATTCAGAGGGCAGGGGGAGTCACTAAAAGAATTTTAATTGGGGAGAAACAAGATCAGATTTGCTTTTTAGATCCACTTGGATTGCTGTGTGGGTTCCTGGGAGAGTGAGTGGGAGTTCTGTTATATCCACACAGCAGTTGTACGGGTGTTACTGTTAGTGGAGAGGGGTAAGTGGATGGATTCTGATTGTGTTTATATGGGGAATTAATATAACTCGGGTATGGGACCTTTTCATCTCTTTGCTTTGTAAGCACCACCACTCAACACTGTAATGGTTTATGTGCTAGGGACCATATGCATCTTTTCCTATTTACTCTGCACCAGAGTCCTGTAAAGTTTCTGTATTTTGATGGCATTTTCTCTATTTGTTAGATAAGCACACTGAGTATTGCCCTTAGGAAGTACAGGTCTGATGCCCCTCTGACTCCTGTTTTGGGCTTTCCTCATTTGGCTTCCTTGCACAGAAGACATTGTAAAGAAACCATCACTGAGAGCCCTCTGAGAAGGCAGAATGGGCTTAGTGCCACCCATTTTTATTTCCTATGTAATTTCTTTGAAGCCAGTGGTAAAACAATTTTCATTTTATGCATGCTCAAACTGTAATCAGCTTGTTAGGTTAAGAAGCACTCTCTTACAAGGTACATTATCTGGTCTCTTGAGAAGGCTCAGTGGGTAAAGGCACTTGCTGTTAAGCTTGATGAACCTGAGTTTGATCCCTGGGACCCACATGGTAGAAGGAGAGAACTGATTCTCACAAACTGTACTCTGACCACAACACTTGTGACATGGCACTAATGCCTTCCCCCAAATAAATGTATTATAATTTTTAAAATGTACATTGCCGTGGCTGTCCTGTAGTATGCCATTTTTGTCTTTTTGAGACAGCGTCTCTCTGTAGCTCCAGCTGGCCTGGAACCTGCTATGTAGACTAGGCTGGCCTCAAATTCACAGACACCTGCCTGCCTCTGCCTCTGCTGGGATTAAAGGCGTGTGCTACCACACCCAGCCATTTTTGTCTTAGTGTAAAATAGTTCAGTGTTTCTTTTCTTCTAATACCCAAATTAAAACATTGATACCTCAGGCGTAAGAATCATTTTGTTCTTGATATTAACTAGTACTTAAATATTTTGAGGGGGGACATGCCACTCCTGGAATACCAGTTCACTGTTTCACCAAGACTCCTCTTTGCTTTTCTGCAGGGAACACCTACCTGAGAGGGTCATCAAAGAAAACTAGATTCTGAATTGTGTCCTGATATTTTTTCCCCCTCTTAAGATTCTCTCAGCATTTAGTCGCCCCCCCCCTTGCTATGGATGAAACCTAAGGCCTCACACAGACTAGACAAGTGCTCTACCACTGATCTGTACTCCCCAGCCCAAGTATTATTATTTACTTATGGGATTTAGAACACTGTTTTTATTAACAAAGAAAGATCTCCATGGGGCTGGGATGAGTACAGGGTTGTCCCAAATCTGGCCCCCTATATTCTTTTCCATATCCTTAGCCTCTGGTCCTTTCACCTCCGTGTCGTCTCCTGGATTATGCAGCCACTATGTTTGTCTTTTCTTCTGGATATACAAACAGTACATATTCATCAATCAGAAGCTAATTTTGGGGTTGGAGAGATGGCTCAGCAGTTAAGAGCGCTGGCTGCTCCTGCAGAGGACCCAGGGTTGATTCCCAGCACCCACATGGAGGCTAACAACCATCTGTAACTCTAGTTCTAGGTGATCTGGCTTCCTTTTCTGTAGGTTTGCACACATATAGTATACTTACATGCAAGAACACTCCATCTACATTAAAAAAAAGAATCTAGTTTTTATTTTTGAGGATTTTTTTTTTCTTTTTACATTTGTTGGGGGAGGGTGGGCACATATGCCATGATACACAAGCCACAGCATGTGTATGTAGATCAGAGGACAACTTACCAAGTAGCATGAGTCAGTTTTCTCTCTCTATCATATGAGTTCTGGGAATCGGACATGTGGCAAGTCCCTTTACTCTCTCAACTATCTTGCCAGCTCTAATTTTTGGGCTTTTGAGAAAATGTCTCATGTAGTTCAGGATGGCTTGGAATTCCTGATCATCTTGTACCAATTCCCACCCTTGTGCTGGGATTATAAGTGTGGACCACCATGCTCAGCCACCAAAGGCTATTATATAGAAAGACCAACAGTGTAATACTGCCTTCACCAAATAGCCAAAGTTCCTGGCCCAGGCACCAGCCCCTTTCCTGTGTTAGACTCAGAAATTCCTGACTCCTCAGACAGATCCTGCTGCACAAATTTTCAACTGCTCTAACCTACACTGATTGTCACTTGTCACTTTTTAGCTGCTTTCCTCAAATTATTCCTACCCTGAAAACCAAGATAGAAATCTTAGCTGTCCCTTTATATCAATACATTGGAAAGAATCTTCTGTATTTCCCATATAGTTAATATTTCTGTTACTCTCTCTTCCTTTATGTGGATCCATGTTTCTACCTGGTATCATTTTCTTCTGCTTGAATGAGTTTCTATTTATTTATTTATTTATTTATTTAGTTTTTGGTCTTTTTGAGACAGGGTCTCCCTGTAGCCCCAGCTGTCCTGGAACTCACTATGTAGACCAGGCTGAATTCACAGAAATCTGCCTGCCTCTGTCTCCTGAGTGCTGGGATCAAAGGCGTGTGCCACCATACCTGGATGAATGAGTTTTTTAAAAGATTATAGTTGTGTGGCTCTATTTGTGATGAATTATTTGAGTTTTTAATGTGTCTTAAAATGTATTTGTTTCATCTTTATTTTGGGGGATAATTTTTGTTGGGCATAGATATCTACATTTATAGGTTTTCAAGCATTTCCTTTCAGTACTTTAACAGGGCTGCTCTTGCTTGCATTTTTTTTTTTTCCCCAGTAAGAAATCTGCTCTGGACATGATGTATCTTTTTTCCTCTGGCTATTTTGTGTGTGTGTGTGTGTGTGTGTGTGTGTGTGTGTGTGTGTGTGTGTATGTGTACACCTGTTTGTGTGCATGTGTAGGCCAGCAGTCAATGTGTCTTCTCTATCACTCTCCACCTTATGTTTTGACACAGGTGTCTCACTGAACCTGGAGCTTGCTGCCTTGGCTGGATTAGCTGGCCAATAAGCCCCCAGGATCTTCCTGTCTCTACTCCCTATCCCCTAGGAGCTGTGGTCACAGACATGCATAGCTGTGCTCTGTGGGTTCTGGGGCTCAAAGCCATCAACTTTGTACAGGAAGTACTTTACCTACTGAGCCATCTCCACAGCCCTCTCTGGCTATTTTTTTGTTGTTGTCAGGCTCTGCCTGGCCTGGAACTCACTTTGTAGAGCAGGCTGGCCTGCTCTCAGAGATGGTCTGCCTCTGCAGAATTAAAGGTGTGCACCACCACTCCCTGCCCCTCTCAGGCTACTTTTAAGATTTTGTCATTGGTTTTGAGCAATTTGATTGTGATATGCATTGGTGGAGTTTGTTGAGCTTCTTGAATCTAGACATAGTTTTTGTCATATTTGGAGACTTTTTGGCTATTATTTCTTTAAATATTTTTCATTCATACTCTGATAATAGGCTGTTGGCATTGCAGAGCTTGCTGTGCAATTTGGTGGATCCCCAGCCAATAGTGAGCTACCTGAGGGATAGCCGCTATTTCCTGGGTCAGTGCCTGGCAGTCTGGAAGCTGGTGTGGAGTTGAGAGTTGGAGGGTGGGTCACATCACAGAGGTCTATGGTGATTGAGAACCAGGCATATGGGATAGTTTGGGAGTCCCTGTATCTGAGCATTTGTATAAGACTTCTCTTGTAGCTCCAAATAGGAGGCAATTCCTCTCCTCCTGCTGCTACACCTGCATGGCAGGCCTTCATCTAGCACTTCCCATGTAGGCAGCAGCTCAAGGACAGCAGGCAGTGCCAGAGTCTGGCTGTCAGAGGCCACCTGGGTAGGAGCTGCTGTGAGACTCCTTGCTTAGGCAGGTGACCCTCCATTTCCTAGGAATCATGGCCAGGAGGGAAACACCCATCTGAAGTAGCAGTCAGAAGCACTGGTTCTTAGTACCAGCTGTGTACTGACTACACCAAGCTTCTCTGTGCCTCAGCTTGGTCATCTACTGAGTGGGTTTGGTAACCGTTGTCTGGTCCATCTCACAGAGCTGTCTGATGTGTGCAAAGATGGCTTTGCTCTAAGAGTCTTGCATAAATCCAGTATTTTTTTAGTGTCCCTGTTATATTTTCTTAACTGGTATGCACTACAATATTTTTATTATAATTCACGTGGTAGAAAGCAGGTTTCTGCTGGAGCTATGTGTCCATTTACTTGGCATCTATTAATCTTGATGGTTTCCAGATCTGGAGAATGGTGGGTGGCTCTCTGATAGTAAAATGGGAAGAAATGTCATTCACCATAGGGTAGGTGTCATTTTTGGGAACTGTAAGTCTGGGGTTCATTTACTTTCGAGTCAAATATGACTGAACACACTGGCCTGCTTTAGTTGCAGGGGAAAGTGGTCACGTGTGGCGGGAGGAGCAGCCTGGCCGTGTTCTCCAGTTTGGGGCTGTGCACCTGCATGAAGAAGAACCTGTGCGAGTCCTGCGAGACCAGGCGAGGTTGGCACAGCCAATGGAGGCCTCGCGGGGGCTGGGTCCCCGCAAGGATCCCATGGTGGTGCTGTCTGTGATCCCTGGAGCAGCAGAGGACAAACCCACCTCCGAGGCGCGCGGCGGCACCTGCGGTGTGAGGGGAGAGGAGGACCCGCACTGTGGCCAAGAGAACCTCTTTGGGCTGCATGGCACTGGAGCCTTCCCTGACCGGGAAGAGGAATACTACGCGGAGCCAGGGGCTGAGGCAGAGCCTGCCACCCCAGACGATGCCAACAGCACCGATAGCCTCAAGTCCCCCAAGGTGAACTGTGAGGAGAGGAATGTGACCGGACTAGAAAATTTCACCTTGAAGATTTTAAATATGTCTCAGGTGGGAAACACTCATTAATAATTTTCTCTTTTTCAGTAAGTGAATCTTGTGATTTAATACACTAGCTATCAGCTTTCAAGTGATTATTACCCAGGCTGGTCTGCAACTGCTAGGCTCAGGCTTTAAAAAAATAACATGTTTTTATGGGCTGGAGACATGGTTCAGCAGTTAAGAACATGGGGCTGGAGAGATGGCTCAGCAGTTAAGAGCACTGACTGCTCTTGCAGAGGACCCGGGTTTGATTCTCAGCACCCACATGGCGGCTATGAACCGTCCTTAACTCCAGTTCCAGGGGAATCCAAAGCCCTCTTCTGACCTCCACAGCATTGCACGACATGGGTGCACTCACATACATGCAGGCAATTCACTGATACACATAAAATAAAAAAAATAATAAAAACAAAACAGAAAAAAAACACCAGCTGCTCTTGCAGAAGACTGTGCACCACCATGCCCGGCATCACATGCGTTTTAGGTGACCAAATGCTAGTCATTCTTGGGATAATGTTATCACCTAATCTCATGATAAAAATCCTACTAGAGGGCCCTGTGTGGTGGCGCACGCCTTTAATCCCAGCACTTGGGAGGCAGAGGCAGGAGGATTTCTGTGAGTTCAAGGACAGCCTGGTCTACATAGTGAGTTCTAGGACAGCTGGGGCTACAGGGAGACCCTGTCTCAAAAAGACCAAAAAAAAAAAAAAAAAAATCCTAATAGATAGGTGCTGATAGGCATCAGAATCATAGCATTTTTGTTTTCCCAGGGCTAAGAATATAGCTTAGTGGTAGAGTACTTGCTTAGCATGTGCAAGGCCCTGGGTTCAATCCCCAGTCACCACCCCCCAAAAGTAAAAGAACAGTCTGATTTACTAAGATGACAACTTAGAATTATTTTTGGCAGTAGTGCTGGAGAACCTGTTTAGTAATGGAAGTTTCTCTTCCTCTGAAGACTGTGAATCTAGAATACAAACTATAGAATGTTCCGGAGTGTCTTAATCCCAGCCAGGCTTTTGCAGATTCCTTGGATACATGACAATTCCAAAGCAAATTCTGGAATGACTGATGATTTCTGTGGAATAGTTAAGAAGCCAGAAGAGCAGGATGATGCCAGCTTGCCCACATGAGACAAGAACCTTAGGTCTGAGAGCTGGGATTGCTCATGGTCATGGCCAGCATGATGTATTTAGTTCATGAAGCTTCTCCAGGGGCTGGGGTCAGCCTGGCCTTACATTCCCTCCTGAGTTCCTGGTAAACATTGCCCCTCAGTCATGCAGGATGTTTAGCCACATCACTCACATGACCAAGAGAGCTGTAGCTTAAACAGGTGGTGGCAGGGGCAGAGCACCCTTGAATTGCACTGACCTTTGGCCATACACATTGATCTTAGCTCAGCTGAAAGTTTGAGATATTTGATGTATGATCTTTTTCTTACTGTAACAAAATACCTAAGGTAATCAACTTAAAAAGAGGAGCAGCTTATTTTGGCCCAAAGTTTTGGAGGTTTCAGTTCATTATCAGTTGGTTCACTGCTTTTGGGTCTGTGGTGAGGCAGCACAACATGGTGGAAGCTCATGATGATATAAGAAGACCTCACCTCACAGGGACTAGGAAGTAAAAAGAGAATGAAGAGATCAAGGTTCAACAATCAATTCTTCAAAGGCATTCCCTCAGTGACTCAGACTTCCCATTAGATCTTACCTTCTAATGGTGTGCCACAGCCGAGGACTAAGCCTCCAACATATATGTCTCTGGCTCAGTGGTTAAGAACACTTGCTGTTCTTCCAGAGGACCCAAGTTCAGTCCCCAGCACCCACATTGTGCTGTTCACAACTGCCAGCTCTAGGGGATCCAGTGCCCTCCTCTGGCTTCCTTAGGCATCTGCATGCAAATGTGCACACTCCCACCTATATACACGTAAGTAAAAATGAAATAAACCTTTTTTTATATATATATAAATGATCCAAGCTATAGCATTTGAGATGTACGGTTCAATAGTATGGGCAGTGGCCTATATATTAAAGGAACTTTAGGAAAGTTAAGAGGAAGTTTGCTTTGCCATTGGTAGTACTTTCCTGCTGATTACGTGGGTTTATATAGTTCCAAAGCCTAAAGCTATTGAGGGTGTCAGTCTCCTCCACTCCCTGCCTCACATGCTGGTCTTCTTTGGGAACTGCAGGCCTTCTTCTTGAGTATCCTTACAGAAACATGTACGTGTACATTTCCTGCTGACTTTAACACTTGTTTCTTTAACCACAGGACCTTATGGATTTTCTGAACCCAAATGGGAGTGACTGTACACTGGTCCTCTTCTACACCCCATGGTGCCGGTTTTCTGCCAGCCTGGCCCCTCATTTTAACTCTCTACCCCGGGCGTTTCCAACTCTTGGCTTTTTGGCACTGGATGCATCACAGCACAGCAGGTATCCTCCCTTGGTCATGGCTTGTCCTTCCAGTTGCTTGTTGTGGAGGCCCTGCCTAGTTAAGTTATAAGTAGGGAAGGTGAACAGGGACCTTAAAGTCATATAGAACAGAAAGGCAAGGTGAATACTGCTGGTTGTCAGACACCCCTAAGAGCTGATGGTGTCACTTCCTAATGAAATAGGCTTGTTTTCTGTGTGGTAGATTAAAAGGTAATGGCACCTGATGGCAGGGACATGGCCAGAGGACCTTGGATGGTCCTGGCCAGACTATATTAGCACAACTGGTACTGCAATAGGAGAGCTCTTAGTGGCTTTAACCTACGGTTTAATTTTCTGCCTCTGGCAGTCTAACTTCTATCACCCCCTGTTCCATGCTGTATCTATGTAGGCTTTATTTTCTTCTTTTAATCCTAAATTTTTAAAAATTTATGTGTGTGTGCACACATGTATGTACAGGTGCTGCTTCCTTTACCTCCACTGAGTTCCTGGGATGGTGTCTCAATTATGGAGACTAGGGTGCTTATTCTCATTACAGGGGCTGGGACATGAGTTTGCCTCATATGCTCATGTCTGTGTGACAGCATGTTTACAAAAGAGAAACATTTAAAAAAAATTTTTAAATATTTTATTTATGACTTTTATGTATATGTGTGTACTGCCTGCATGTATGTAAGTGCACCTGTGTCCTGCAATGCCTATGGAGGACAGAAGAAGCTGTTGCATCTCCTGGAACTGGAGTTACGTACATGTTAGCTGATGTGGGTGCTTGGATTTGAACCCGGGTCGTCTGCAAGAACAACCAGTGTTCTTAACTGCTAAGCCATCTCTCCAGTCCCCGAGAAACATTTTTTATCTAGTATTACTAGTTTACTAATGGCAGAAACAGGTGTAGTGAGGTTAAATAATTGACCTAAAGGTCATATCTGGTTCAGTCTTCAAACCAAGGCTATAGCCTGGACCGGTCTCTGTTATGTAAAGGAGAAACAATCCTGCAGGTCTGATTACTTCCAAGTCCTCTTCTCCTAGTTGCACCCCTCCTGGTGTGTGGGTCAGGCCATACATTACCTTGCATCAATTTGTCAAACTAATTGCTTACTGTATGCTGATGCTTTCTGATGGAAAGGATGGCCATTCTGAAATTCAGAAATTCTTCTGTCAAGAAAATTGATACACTGTGCTTTGTCCATGAATTAGAATGTTCTGGTCTGAGCTGTTTTGACAGTTAGCAATTTAAACAGTGGAATAATTGGGTCATGGGGTAGATCCATGGGGTAATAGAAAGCAACCTATATTGCTGAACAGGAATGCCCCAACCCTGACCATAAGGAAGAGGTCAGGAACAGACTAAAAGTCAAAAGTTTGATTATCAGAAGCTGCCTTAGGCCACACAAAACCATCCATTCTCAAGTTGTGTGACAAAGTATGTTTTCAGTCTTCTAACCGACTTTTCTCTTTCAGCCTTTCTACCAGATTTGGCACTGTAGCTGTCCCAAACATTTTGTTATTTCAAGGAGCTAAACCAATGGCGAGATTTAATCATACAGATCGAACACTGGAAACACTGAAAATTTTCATTTTTAATCAGACAGGTATGTAGTATTAAATAACTGTGCTGAGGAAGGCATTTAAATTTTTAAATATTTTTATTTATTTTATTTCATATGTATGACTGTATTGCCTGCATGTGTGTAAGTGCACCTGTGTGGTGCAATGTCCACAGAAGTCAGAAGAGGGCGTTGGAGCCCCTGAAACTGGAGTTATGGATGGTTGTTAGCCACCATGTGGGTGCTGGGAATTGAACCCAGGTCCTTTGCAAGAGCAGTCAGTGCTCTTAACTGCTGAGCTATCTCTCTAGCCCCTATTTTTTAATATCTTGCCTTGGGTGGCCTGGAACTTGTTTTGTAGACCAGCCTGGCCTGGAGCTCACAGAGATCCACCTTGCCTCTTAACTTCTTGGTGCTGGGATTAAAGACATGTGCCACTATACTTAGCTATGAAGACATTTTATTGCTGGGGGTGTATCCCTTTTGTGGGTTCTGATCTGCTGTAATCCTTACTGGTTGGACAGTGAGCTCTAACACTTCTTTTTATGAAATGTTAAAAGTCTATTAAATATCTCCCCATCAGGGGCAAGCTTAATATATAATGAATTTTAATGACTGTAGATATTAAAAAAACAGGTCCCCAGTTTATTAAAAATGTAATTCCCATACCATACAATATACCTATATATGCTTTTTAAAAATAGTACTTCTATTTTATGTGTATGAGTGTATTGCCTGCATGTGTGTAAGTATACCTGTGTTGTGCAAAGTCTCTGGTCAGAAGAAGGTGTCAGATCCCCTGGAACTGGAGTTAAAGACAGTTGTTAGCCACCATGTGGGTGCTGGGAACCAAACCCAGGTCCTCTGCAAGAGCAGCCAGTGCTCTTAACCACTGGGCCATCTCTCGAGCTGCTTTTTTTTATTTTTTTATTTTTTTAGACAGGGTCTCACTATGAGGCTCTAACTGGCCTAGAATTCATTATGTTGACCATCCCAGGCTGGCCTAGATCTCACAGCCATCTGCCTGCCTCTGCCTCCCAAGTGCTGGGATTAAAGGTATGTGCCACACCCAGCACTGTATATGCCCTTTAATAAACATTTTCACTTGTTTAATATTTATGTAAAAATACTTATACAGCAATATCATTAGTGATGAATTTTCAAAGTCAACACCCTAGATAACCAGTATTTAGGGTAAGAAACACATGTGACCAGACTCACTTCTGCAAAGATAGCTGTAGTCTTAACCTTTTAAAAATATTTTACTAGCCAGGTGTGGTGGTACATGCCTTTAATCCTAGGACTCAAGAGGCAGAGGCAGGCAGATCTTTGTGAGTTGGAGGTCTACATAGCAAATTCCAGGCCACCTGGGGCTACAGAAAGACCCTATCTCAAAAAGAGCAAAAAAAATTTTTTTTACTATTTTAATTTTATGTGTATGAGTGTATTGCCTGCATGTATATAAGTACACCTGTGTTGTGCAATGCCCACGGAGGTCAGAAGATGGAGTCAGATTACCTGGAACTGGAGTTACAGATGGTTGTTAGCCACCATGTAGGTGCTGGGAATCAAACCTGGGTCCTCTACAAGAGCACCCAGTACTCCTAACCACTTAGCTGTCTCTCTAATCCCCACCCTTTTTTTTTTTTTTTTTTTTTTTTTGAGACAGGAGCTGATTAGCTCTGCCTGGCTTTGAACTCATTATATAGACCAGACTAGCCACAAACTTGTGGGCAGTCCCCCTGCCTCTGTCTTCTGAGTGTTGATACCTGACTACTTGAGTCTCAATTCCATAGACTGTTACAGTTTTGAACATTACATGACTGGCAGCATACAGTGCATTTTCTTTAGTCTGGGCTATCATATTTGTGAGATGCAGCTGCATTGCTGGGTATGGTTATGTTTTGTTCATTTAAAAATTTTTATTTATTATTTTTATGTGTATGAGTTTATTGCCTGCATGTATATGTGCCTGTGTTGTGCAGTGACCATGGAGGTCAGAAGAGGGTGTTGGATCCCCTGGAACTGGAATTACGGATGGTTGTTAGTCACCATGTGGGTGCTGGGAACCCACATGGGTTGCAGATTGTCTGGAAGAGCAGTCAGTGCACTTAACTGCTGAGTTCTCTCTCCAGCTCGTTTTGTTTTTATTGTGTAGTATTCAATTTATTAATCCATTCACAGATGCTTTAATTCGTTAATGTTTGCCAAACCTTATGGCTTTACTTTTATTGCTTGTAAAAGTTTGATCATGGTAAATTTCCTCCACTGGAAAACTTCATTCCTCAAAGCCTGACAGCTTCAACTATGAGCATCTGACATCTATCTAAAGTATACACACTAGAAATAAGTGCAAATAAGAGCATTCCTCCAGTGTATATTGTAGTCGCTTTTCTTCTGACACTAAAGAGCAAAGAACCTTGTGTTGGATCCCTGACTGGGGTGGGGAGAGAAAGCTATTGTGTTTAAGTGCTCTGTGGAAACTTAGAGCATACATGAAGTCTAGGTGTCCCTGCATCTTTGCTGATCACTGATCCTGTGGTGGATCCATGTTCTAACAATTCTTTCAAGAACTTATTCAGTGACATGTGTCACCCTTAATAACTTATTCAAAAGCACTTTGAATTTAGTATTAATTAACCTATGAAAACATTTGAGAGTAGCTTTACTTATTGAACTGTGGTCTTAAGAGAACAAAAGACACCTCTAACAAGGCATTGACTAGGAAAGCTCTGAGAAGTCCACAGAAATTCTGCAATTTTAACTTTGAACAGCCAAAAGGAGTTCTGATCCTTTGATGTGGTGGGAAGAAAGGCAAGTTACAAATCATACTGACAAGTAGGTGAAATCTGCCCCAGATATGCTTGTGGTGTGTTTACTTAGGACTGCTTGTCATTCTGCATACCATGCATCAGACTTCAGCAAAATCCATGGCGGATGTGTTTTCTTTTTGACTTGAAACAACTGATTTCTCTTTCAGGTATAGAAGCCAAGAAAAATGTGGTGGTAACTCAAGCTGACCAGATGGGCCCTCTTCCCAGCACTTTGATAAAGACTGTGGATTGGTTGCTTGTATTTTCCTTATTCTTTTTAATCAGTTTTATTATGTATGCTACCATCCGGACTGAGAGTATTCGGTGGCTAATTCCAGGACAAGAGCAGGAGCATGCAGAGTAGTGATGGAGCTAAAGAAGTTGAAAGGAGGAGGAATTTCAACCCTTTATTTCAGAAACTAGTACCATAATCTCTTGCATTTTCTCCAGCAGTACTGACCACAGCATAAGTCAGATTAAAGAATCATGCATTTGCTGAACTACTGAGTAAAAAAATTACAGACCTGTTTTTAACTAGTATGATAATAAGCAGATGCAAAAGTATTCATTAGAAGTCACTGTTCTTGTTTTTTTTTTTTTTTTTTGAGACAGGGTCTCCCTGTAGCCCTAGCAGGCCTGGAACTTGCTATATAGAACAGGCTGGCCTCCATCGCAGAGATTCTCCTGTCTATCTCCTGAGTGCTGGGATTAACAGTGTGTGCTACCACACCCTACTCCACTGTTCTTGCTTTTAATATTTGAATATGGTCCGGTATTTTAAGAGCAATGCAGTTTGAAATTTAAAGACATGTAGAATACTCAGGATATGGATGCAGGTTAGCATACAGAGACCAGAAAGAAGAATTTCAGATTAGTTATAAAACTCTTGATTACTCTTGTGTATTAAGAACATTGGTTTTAGCATGGTGGCACACGCCTTTAATCCCAGCACTCGGGAGGCAGAGGCAGGCGGATCTCTGTGAGTTCAAGGCCAGCCTGGTCTACATAGTGAGTTCCAGGACAGCTGGGGCTACAGGGAGACCCTGTCTCAAAAAGACCAAAAAAAAAAAAGGGGGGGGGATTGGTTTTTCTGTTGGTTTAGTGTTGTTAAGCAGGGAAGTGTTCCTTTATGAGAAAAATGACTAGAACGGATAAGTGTGGCCCTATAAGTAGCAACTGATGAAAAATAAAAGTCAAATGCTTCTCATGTTTGTGATTTCTACTTTTGCTGAAAAACTTCAAAGTGGGTTCAGTTGTCTCTAGGTAGGGCAGATGTTAGGAAAAGTAAACATTATTTTAAGTAAAACATATTTATCTGTTTTATGCTAAAGCATAAGCATTAAGTAAATAACCAGCATGCATTATTTGAATCTTAACACTCTCTTAACATTGTGCTAAATTGAGGTCCAAAGGAAGTATAAAATACTGTTCTTATCTCAAGGTTGAGTCTAGTTCATGACACATTTAGAAAAGATACAGTGTGGGCTGGCAAGATGACTGAGCAGGTAAAGGCAGCCTGATGACCTGAGTTCAATTCCTGGTACCCACGCAATGAGAGGAGAGAACAGATTCTCATAATTTGTCCTCTGACCTCCACATGTGCACCATGACATGCACTGTCCCCCCATACACAAAATAAGTATAATAAAAAATTTAAAAAGAGAAAACACAATTTATACAAACCTCTTAAAAGTTGTTCCTTTAAATTCAAATATAAAAATTGATTACCTACTGAGAAATCACTATGACACTAATTGTTTCCAGTGTTTTAGACACAGTAGTTCAGTGTGTATAAGATACTCCAAATTCTATAGAAACAGAACCTTAGCTGTGTTTCCTCGGGGTACTATGTTGAGAGTTTACAAATTTACAGCCATGCATGCCATGAACAGCTATGGTTGGGTGTCCACTAGAGGAGGAAACTGTGGCTCAGAAAGATGCCATCATGCTGCTGTCCATTTACAAATGAACAAACTGAGGCCTAGAGTGGGCAAGTAACTTGTCCAGGCTATGATGACAGTTGAGAACTTTGACATGTATTATACCTGTAATTACAAATGCAAGAAAGAAAAAAACCTAGTGATCCCATCTCTCATAGTGACTAGGATTTGAGTTATTACTATGTCAATGCCAGCTGCTGTTCTGAATTCTTTGCCAAGCTGATTCAGTTACACTTAAAACTCTGGATTCTTACCATGGAATATCTTCATTTGGAAGAGTAACCTGAAGCTCCAAATAACGATGCAGCTTTCAGAGCTGAGACCAAGCTTGAAACCTTTGTTTTCTTACCTTTTTTTTTTTTGAGATAGTCTTGAGATGTGGCCCAGGCTGGCCTTGGTCTCTGAGTGCTTGAGTTGCAGGTGTGCACCACCACACACGCTCCAAACCTCAGCATCTGTACTCCAGAACCTCAAGTTGAGGGAGCCCCTGCCTTGCTCTGTGCTATGGCCCTGGTGACCACTGAATGCATTTAACTCCTGGTCTTTCTCTTGTGTGTTGTTATGTTAGAATTTGATACCTTTAATTTTTGTTAGTTTTTGAGATAGGTTTCCAGCTGGCCTGGAACTCACAGTGTTCCAGACCAAGCTGGCTTCTACCTTACAGAGAGGTACAACCTTAGCTGTCTCCTCAGGGTGAGGGGACACAGCTAAGGTTCTGCCTAGCTCTGCCTCTGCCTCCCAAGTTGCTGGGTTTAAAGGCATGCACTACCATGCCCAGCCAAGTTTTAAGATTTTTATTTGTGTGTGTGTGTGTTGTATATGTCATGGCTTGCACAAGGTCAGAGGACAACTTATAGGAAACCATTCTTTCCACAATGTGGATCCTTGGGATTGAACTCAGATTGTCACATCTTTACCTGCTGATCCATCTTGCTGGTGCCTAGTTTTTTTTAGTAGGTATATAATAGACTTTTAGGCAGATTTAGCATGATTACCTATTTACCTGTCTTCTTTTGTTGGGTATTATTATGATAGTCTCATTTCTTTGGAAGCAGATTCCTAGCGTGAGAATTTTTTTTTTCAAAGACAGGATTTTTTTTAATGTTTTTACTGCACAGTGGGGCTCTAGGGGTTGAAGGCGGGCTCGAGGGATAACTAACATACCTATATGGCTTTCCTTTGAACACTTAACTAAGACCACAAAGGGGCTCCTCTGGAGGGAATTGGGAACAAGGAATAGAGATCAGTCAGGAAATTGGTTTTGAGGACAAGGGAGTAGAGCAGGGCCATGAGTAGCTCAAGACCAGCCAAATCTATAGTCCACCATAGAGGAGTGTCCCATAAATCTTGGCTAAGGGGCTTAAATCTTATTCATCTGGGAATATCTTTAAATTTTTTGTTTAATTTTTAATTTTATGTGTGTGTTCTGCCTTCATGTATGTAAGTGCACCCACATTGTGCAATGCCTGCAGAGGCCAAAAGAGGGCACTGGATCCTCCTGGAACTGGAATTTACCATGTGAGTGCTGGAAAATAAATCTGGGTCTTCTGCAAGAGCAGCCAGTGCTCTTAACCACTGAGCCATCTCTCCAGCTCCTAAAATCTTTTTATTACATTTTCAAAAATGATATTTTTATTTGTACAAATGTTTTGATTGCCAGTATGTTTATTGGTATTGCATGTAGTACCTACGAAGGCCAGAAGGGGGCAATATAGCCAGAGGTGCCACGTGGGTGCCGGGAGTCAAACCTGGGTCCTCTGGAAGAACAGCAAGTGATATTAACCCCTGAGTGGTCTCTCCAGCCCTTATTACATTTTTAAAAATGTGTGTGCAAACATGCATGTGTGCCATGGTACATATGTGTGGAGGTCAGAGCACAACTTGTGGGAGTCAGTTCTCTCATGCTGTATAGGTCCTGGGGGTCAAACTCGTCAGCTGAGCTGTCTCACTGGCCCATCTGGGAGCTTCCTGAGAGAACACAGCACTCGCAGACTTTTTCTTGGATACTGTCACTTCCCTAGGTCCTAACTTTGCAGATAAAAAAAAAAAAAAAAATTCTAAATTTTAAAATTTTTAAAATTTTATGTGTGTGTTTTGCCTGCATGTATGTAAGTGCATCCATGTCATGCAAAGCCAGAGGCAGCCAGAAGAGGGTGTCTGGATCCCCTGGAACTGGAATTATGGATGGTTGTTAGCTACCATGTGGGTGCTGGGAATCAAACCTGGGTCCTTTGTAAGTGCTCTTAAGTGCTGAGCCATCTCTCCAGCTCTTTGCTGCTTTTATAAATAGATTTGTGATGCTTTGCTTTCAGGCAGTGGTGTTGAGGAAGGAAAATGTTGAGGGTCTGGGCTTTGTTAACATACATACCTATAGATTCATTTTCGAGTCTCAACTTTTCACCCCCACCTCCTCCTCTTCCAATTTATAGCATAGCCTCAAACTCCAGATCTCTTGCCTAGCCTCTTGAATACGATTACAGGTGGGTACCATGCATTCTGCCAATCCTCACATTAATGTGCAAATTTCACGAATATTTCTCATGATTATAAACACTCAATGTAAATGCTGGAAATAAACATTTTTTGGAAATTATTATTTTACTTATTTTTATTTTATGTGTATGCATGTATGGCCTGCATATAGGTAGGTGCACCCGTGTTGTGCAATGCCTGCAGAGGACAGAGGAGGCTGTCGGATCCTCTGGAACTGGAGTTACAGACAGTTGGTAGCTGCCATGTGGGTGCTCGGATTCAAACCTGGGTCTTCTGCAAGAACAGTCAGTGTTCTTAACTGCTGAGCCGTCTCTCCAGCCCTGAAAATATTTTTATTTTATGTGTATGTGTTTTGCCTGCATGTGCGTAAGTACACCCATGTTGTGAAATGCTGTGGAGGTCAGAAGAGGGTGTTGGATCCCCTGGAACTGTAGTTATGGATGGTTGTTAGCCACTATGTGGGTGCTGGGAATTGAACCCAGGTCCTCTGCAAGAACAGTCAGTGCTCTTAACTGTTGAGCCATCTCTCCAGTAAATGCTGGAAATAAAACATTTAATTCTACCCCCCAATATCTGTCACCTTTAGGCATGAGACTAAAAACCCAGTGTCTTACATAATGACATGAAACCAGATACATCTGGTCAGGGCCCTCAGCATGGGTATTCCCCTGAACTTTGCTTTTTTATTTACATCTTGTCAAGTGGATAAAACATAGGTCAAGCCCCAATTCAAGCCTGAATTTTAGGCTCTTTTAAAGCAAAAATTATTTTTCTAAGATTGCTAACACTGCTAAACTGATCTTTAAGTGAGCTCTTTAATATACATATTTATATTCCTTTGCAATATAGTCTAAAACTGTTAATAGTAATGTGCTAATTTAATAAAAAGGGCTTGGTGGTTCATGCCCATAATCCCAGCACTTGAGTGGAGGCAGGAGTTCAAGGCCAGCCTCTGCTACATAGTGAAGTAGAGGCCAGCCTGGGCTACATGAAACTGAATAAATGAAAACAACACTTAATAAGAAACAAAAAGATACAAGCGACACTAAAAGCTGCAACATTAAAATGTTAAGCTAAAATACTAAACATTTTACCAATGAGCTAAAGCCCCAGCCCTAAACCGCACATTTTAAAGAGTGAATTTTATTGTCAAAAAAAAAAAAAAAAAAAAAGAAGAAAATCAGACTATTCATCTCTGATTCTGACTGGATGGATGCAGCCTAACTGGCTGCCACCTGCTCCAGCCACCACTCTCTACCATCACTGCCTGTATTCCCTGGACTGTGCTAAAACAAACCCTTCCTTCTTTAAAAAGAAAAGAAAGCCGGTGTGGTGGCGTACGCCTTTAATCCCAGCTCGGGAGGCAGAGGCAGGTGGTTCTCTGTGAGTTCAAGGCCAGCCTGGATTACATAGTGAGTTCCAGGACAGCTAGGGCTACAGGGAGACCCTGTCTCAAAAAGACCAAAAAA